TTTTATATTTATCTCTTGTCAGATGGATAGTTTGCAAATATTTTCTCTCATTCTGTAGGTTGTCTCTTCACTCTCTTAACAGTTTCCTTTGATGTGCAAAGTGTTTTAGTTTGATATAATCCTACTTGTCTATTTTTGCTTTTATTGCTTGTGCTTTTGGAGTTATTTAAAAAATCCTTGCCCAGCCCCATGTTGTGGATCATTTCCCCTATGGTTTCTTCTAGTAGTTTCACAGTTTCAGATTTTACATTTAAATCTTTAATCCATTGTGAGTTGATTTTTGTATATGGTGAGAGGTAGGGCTCTAGTCTCATCCATTTGCATGTGGATATCCAGTTTTCACACCACCATTTTCTGAAGAGATTATCTTTTCTCCAATATGTATTATTGACACCTTTGTTAAAGTTCAGGTGGCTGTAGGTTCGTAAATTTATTTCTGGGCTCTCTATTCTGTTCCATTGGTCTATGTTTGTTTTTATGTCAGTACCATGCAGTTTTGGCTACTAACGCTTTGTAGTTTAATTTGATATCAGGTACTGTGATTCCTCCAGCTTTGGTCACTTTTTTCAGGATTTCTTTGACTATTTTTGGTCTTTTTTGGTTCCATATGAAATGTTTTTTCTATTTCAGTGAAGGTCATTGGTATTTTGATAGGGATTGCATTAAATCTGTAGATCACTTTGGGTAGAATAGCAATTTTAACCATATTAATTCTTCCAATCCATGAACATAGAATATCTTTCCATTTATTTATGTCTATTTCAATTTCTTTCTTTAAAGTTTCTTCATTGTAGAGGTCATTCACCTCCTTGGTTAAGTTTATTCCTAGATATTTAATTTTTTTGTAGTTACCATAAAAGGAGTTATCTTTTTGATTTCTTTTTCAGATAGTTTGCTATTTGTATTTAGAAAGGTTATTGACTTTCGTATGTTTATTTTGTATCCTGCAGTTTCACTGAATTTGTTTATTCTAACGGGTTTTTGGTAGAGTTTTTAGAATTTTCTATATATAAGATCATGCTGTCTGCAAACAGGGGCATTTTTGATTTCCTCCTTTCCAATTTAGATGTCTTTTATTTCTTTCTCTTGTGTAATTGCTCTGGCTGGGACTCCCAGCACTATGTTGAATAGAAGTGGTGAAAGTGGATGTCTTGTTCCTGAAAAGCTTTCAGCTTTTCCCCGTTCAATATGACATCAGCTGTGGGTTCATCATATACGACCTTTATTGTGTTGAGGTACGAAATTCTATACCTAGTTTAAGAGTTTTTATCATGAAGGAATGTTGGATTTTGTCAAATGCTTTTTCTGCGTCAATTGAAAAAATCATATTGTTTTTGTCTTTATTTCTGTTAATGTGGTGAATCACATTTATTGATTCATATATGTTAAACCATCCTTGCATCCCTGGGATAAATCCCACTTGGTCATAGTCAATGATCTCCTTAATTTGCTATAGCATTTGGTTTGCTAATATCTTGTTAAGAATTTTTACATCTATGTCCATCAGGGATACTTGCCTATAATTTTCTTTTTTTGTTGTGTCTTTGTCCTGTTTTAGAAACAGAGTAATGTTGGCCTCATAAAATGAGTTGGGAAGTACTCCCTTCTCCTCAATATTCTGGAATAATCTGAAGAGAACTGGTATTAGTTCTTCTATAAATGTTTGGTAGAATTCAGCTTTGAAGCCATCAGGTCCTGGACTTTTCTTTGATGGAAGATTTTATTTTACTGATTTAATTTCCTTGCTTGTTATTGGTCTGTTCAGATTTTTTTTTTTTAAAGATGACTGGTAAGAGGATCTTAACCCTTGGCTTGGTGTTGTCAGCACCATGTTCAACCAGTGAGCTAACTGGCCATCCCTATATGGTATCCGAACCCATGGCCTTGGTGTTATCAGCACCACACTCTCCCAAGTGAGCCACAGGCTGGCCTGGTCTGTTCAGATTTTAAATTTCTTCAGGATTTAATCTTGGTAGATTGTATTTGCCCAGGAATTTATCCATTCTATGTTATTAAATTTTTTGGCATGTAGTTGTTCAAATAGACTCTTAGGATCCTTTGTATTTCTGTGGCATCAGTTATAATATCTCCTTTTTCATTTATGATTTTATTTACTTGAATCTTCTCTTTCTCTTCGTTAGTCTGGCTAAAGGTTTGTCAATTTTATCTTTTCAGAAAATGAACTCTTCATTTTGTTGATCTTTTTTTTTTTTTTTAGTTTCTATTCATTTGTTTCTGCTCTGAGTTTTATTATTTCTTTCCTTTTGTTAGAGCACAGCCTTATAATGTCTGCCAATTTTGAGTTTAGTTGTTGTTTTTCTAGTTCCTTTAGGTGCAGTGGTAGGTCATTTATTAGAAATCTTTCTTCTTTTTTGATGTCAGCATTTATTACTATAAACTTTCCTCTTAGAACTGCTTTTGCTGTATCCCATAAGTTTTGGTGTGATGTGTCTCCATTCTCATTTGCCTCAAGGAATTTTTCAATTTCATTTTTAATTTCTTCATTAACCCATTGGTTGTTTAGGAGCATGTTGTTTAGTTTCCATGTATTTGTACAGTCTCTGAAGATTTTTTAGAAATTGGAGAAAACTTCGATTTCTAGTTTTATACCATTGTGGTCAGAAAAGATACTTGATATGATCTCTATCTTTTAAAATTTATATAGACTTGGTTTGTGGTCTAATGCATGATCTACCTTAGAGACTGTTCCATGTGCAGCTGAGAAAAATGTGTATTCTGCAGCTCTTGGATGGAATGTTCTGTAAATGTCTATGAGGTCCATTTGGTCTATGGTCCAGTGTAAGTCAGATGTTGCTTTGTTTATTTTCTCTCTAGATGATCTGTCCATTGTTGAAAGTGGGGTATTAAAGTCTCCTGCTATTCAAGTGATACAATAGCCAGGCTATGGAACAAGCCTAAATGTCCATCGATGTATGACTAGATAAGAAAAATGTGTTATATATACATAATGGAAATACTAAGCCATAAAAAAAGAAAGAAATTCTGCCATTTGTAGCAAAATGGATGAGCCTAGAGAAAATTATGTTAAGTGATACAACCCAGGTGCAGAAAGAGAAATACTGCATGTCCTCACTCTTAAGTGAGAGTTGAATTAATAAACCAACAAACGAACAATAAAGAAAGAGAAAAAGAAAGAAATATCAACCACAATAATACATTGAACTTTTAGAGGGAGAGAACAGAACTGTGGTTACATGCATTGTAGAGGGGGAGGAGGAGAGAAAGAGGGAGGGTTAATGGGAAGTTAATGAGATATTGGTTAACAGACACAAAGAACGATTAGATATTGCAATGATGAATAAGGTAACTATCCTGATTTGACCATCACATATTGTACACAACTATTGATAGTCACCTTGTACCCCACAAATACGTACAATCAGTTGTGCCTCAACAAAAAATAGATTAAAAGATAAAAAATAAAATAAAATCTCCTACTATTATTGAATTGCAGCCAATCTCTCCCCTTAGGTCAATAATGTTTGCTTTATAGATCTGGGTGCTCTGGTGCTGAGTACATATATATTAACAATTAATCCCTTTATAGTTATATAATGACCTTCTTTGTCTCTTTTCATAGTTTTTGATTTAAAATCTATTTTATCTGATATAAGTATGGCTACTCCCACTCGCTTTGGTTTGCATTTGTATGGAATATCTTTTTCCAGCCCTTTACTTTCAATGTATGTTTATCTTTCATAGTTAGGTGAGTCTCTTATAGGCAGTGTATTATTGGGTCTTTTTTTTTTTTTAATCCATTCATCCACTCTATGTTTTTAAATTGGAGAGTTTAATCTATTTACATTCAAGGTTACTATTGATCTGTGAGAACTTATTCCTGCTGTTTTGTTAATCATTTTCTGGTTGTTTTGTAGATCCTTAATTTCTTTCTTTTTCTCTTATTAGTTACCTCCATGCATTGGTGGTTTCCTGTGGTACTAAGCTTTGCGTTCTTTCTCCTTTGTGTATCTTCTGTAATTTCTCCTTTTTGTGATTACCTTGGGGCTAACACAGAGAGTCTTGTAGTTATAATAGACTACTATAATAGCAACTTAGCTTTGGTCACATACAAAAATTCTAGACTCCCCCCCCACCACCAATTTATATATATATATATATATTTTTTTCCTTTTTTGTCTTTTTTACTGACCAGTAACGGGATCGCACTTTTTTTTTTTTTTCCTTTTTTGTCTTTTTTACTGACCAGTAACGGGATCGCACCTGCACCACGCTCAGATATATTTTTTTCCTTTTTTGTCTTTTTTACTGACCAGTAACGGGATCGCACCTGCACCACGCTCAGCCAGTGAGCGGGAACTGGTCTCCACATGGGATCCGAACCCTTGGCGGGAGTGCCACCGCGCTCCCAAGCAGTGCACTCTCCAGTGTGCCACCGGGCCGGCCCCAATTTATATTTTTGTTGCCTTAATTTATGTTTGTGTCTATTATATATTCCTTAGTTAGCAGTTTTTACTTTTTTTTTTTTTTTTTTTTTTTTGCCGCCGGCCAGGGGGGGGATCCAAACTCTTGACCGACTTTAAACCTTTATGCTATGGGGTTGAAGGATTTCTATAGCACTGTTACTTCACTGGGGAATTCTGAATTTGAATTATGAATTTACCATATCTGGTGAATTTAGTTCTTTTTAAAGTTTTCATGGTAATAATTATTGTCTTTTCATTTCCAATTCTAGCACTCTCTTAAGCATTTCTTGTAAGGTTGGTCTAGTAGTGATCTTCAGCTTCTGCTTTAAACTTCATAAGTTTCTTGCCAGTCTTATGTAGGCTTATGATTTCTCATGTGTGCTTATGTATTTTTAAGCAAACTGTTATTCAATGTACCTAGTTTTGTTTCCTTTTAAAAAAAAAAACTTTGTATTTCTCATGGTATTAAAAGATATTTGAAGGCATCCTTTTTAATAACTATATAATATTTCATCATTTATGTTTGTTTTAATGAGAATATATTTGTGTTTGCAGTGATTGTTGAGCCCATTCCAATTGGACAAGCAGCTAAGGACTATTTAAATTTATATGTAACACCAACTCTGCTTAAAGGACTCACAGAGCTTTGTAAACAAAAGCCAGCAGATCCTTTTGTAAGAAATCTTTTTATTCACGCTAAAGAATATTGTCTATAGTTTTCACGTTTAAAACATTGTATTCTGGGCTGGCCCGGTGGCGCACTGCTACAGTGTGCCGCTTGGGAGCGCGGTGGCGCTCCCGCCAAGGGTTCGGATCCCACATACAGACCGGTTCCCGCTCACTGGCTGAGCGAGGTGTGGGAGCAACACCGAGGTTTGCGATCCCGTTGCCGGTCCCGGTCTGGTACGGGCGCGACACTGAGGGTTGCGATCCGTTGCCGGACACGAAAAAAGACAAAAAGGAAAATAAAAAAAACATTGTATTCTTTGAAACAGTGAAAGTATTATGAGCCTTTTTAAAATAAGCATTTTTAGAAACTTTTATATACATTTTAGATACTTTATGTACAACTATTGATTATTTATTTTCTTGCTGTTTTCATTCTTAAAAAACATTGCTTCTAAATACTTTTTTTTTTTTCTAAAGATGACTGGTAAGGGGATCTTAACCCTTGACTTGGTGTTGTCAGCACCACACTCTCCTGAGTGAGCCACGGGCTGGCCCTGAAATACATTTTTATTGATTACATCCTTCAATTGCTGAACATTGCTTTTGTGTATAATTTAAATAATCATAAGTGATAAAATTAGAGATATGCTTGAATTTGTTCAACATTTTTGTATCTCATGATGTCTAATTTTTTTTCTTTGATGCCTCAACATTGCTCAGTTAGGTGAAGGAATGGTTGGGTAGGAGGAACTAGGATGGTTGTCCAGGGCCAAAATATCATCCTGGGTCCCCCTCCACAGGCATTGCTACCCATCTGAAGACTCTCAAAGATAATTAGGGAAGTTTATCTCAATACCAGCCCTACCAAAATTAGAATCTCTAGCCTCTGTTACTGTTCTCAAAAGGAATCCCTTTGGAAGGTGAAAGATTTAATCTCTCCTACTAACTTCGACATTTTCACCAAACAATAAAATAATATAGGCAGGTTGTTTCTTTTAAAACTTTTTTTTCATTATGAAAGTAATATATGTTTATTGAATAAGAAACCTGCAACTACTACAAAATGTAGAAAAAAGAAGAAAAAGATACCCCTGGTTCCATTTCCTAAACGTGGTCTCTGAAGTCATCTTGCCTGGTTTCAACTCTGACTCCAGACACTTAACCTCTCTCTGAGTCTCTCCACTGGCATCAGTAAAATGTGTATATGTTAGTACCTACCTGTCTAGTAGGGTTATTGTTAGAATTAAATGTATAAATGAATGTAAAATTTTTAGTCAAAGTGTCTCTTGTATAATAACTGCTCAAATATTAGCTGATGTTATTGTTATTTTCTTTCCAGCCATTTTATTTTGCTAAGATTTTAACTTTTATATGACATTTTTTTTATGTGACATATTTATATAACATATTTCTTTTTTTTATCTTGGCAGCTGACTGGTACAGGAGTTGAACCCTGGACCTTGGTGTTATCAGCACTATGCTCTAACCAACTGAGCTAACCAGCCAGCCCAAACATATGTTTCATAAATATTGCCATGTTTAATATGTATTTTATAGAGAATATTTTAATAGTTACATTTTTTAAAATTACTTTTACCATTCTTCTTTTGCTCTTTGAGTTGTTTGCTATTATAAATACTGTAACAATAAACATCTTTGAGTGTATGAGATTTTCACACATTTGAGAGTATTTCCTTTGAAAAGAGATCAGTAAGTGGAATTATGATTCAAAACATAAGAAATTAAAATTTTTTGGTCCTTAAAGAACTTATTTTTTTATTAATTAGTTTTTTTAATAAACAATATTTGAATATGGTTTAAAATTCAAAAGTTATAAAAAGATGTATAGTGAAAACTCTCCTTCCCATTCCTGTTCCTCAGCCACCCAGTTGCACTCTTTGGAGTCAGTCACTGTTTCTGGCCTCAAATATATGCTTTCAGAGAAAACTATACATGTATAAGCATATATGTTGATGTGTTCTTAACACATACACATACAAATGCTAGCTACTAAGTATAGTATTTGATACTTTTTACCTTATCCTCTTAATATACTCTAGTGTTATAAATTATTAAAAAACACCACAAACAAAATTTCTTCACTTTGAAAAAACAACTCATAGTGTTCTGTTATATGTATGTTATACAATTTATTAATTAGTCCCATACAGATGATTGTTTAGTTTGTTTCTACTCTTGTTATTACAAAATGCCACAGTGAATATTTTCATTCATATGTCAGCACACTGTACACCTATTGAATAAATTCCTAGAAATAGAAATGCTGAGTGAAAAAGAATGTTATTTTGATGTTTTTAATGTGCGTATTTTTAGTTTGAGTAAATATTGCCAAATTACTTTTTGTAGTGGTTGTACCATTTTATACTCCAATCAAAAGCAAGAGTACCCGATGTGTTTTTAAGCTTTGTGTTTTCTGCCAATCTGATAGGTGAAAAATGGTGTCTCCTAGTTTAATTTGTTTTTCTTTCATTATGAGTTTAATGAATGTCTTTTTAAATATGCTACTTAAAGCCATTTGCTTTTCTTTTTCTGTGAACTTCCTACTCATGCTGTTTGTCAATTTTTCTTCTGGGTTTTATGTCTTTTTCTTATTGTGTGTGCTCTCTATATGTTTAGGAAATTAACCTTCTGTGGTTTAGTAGATTTTCTCATTTATCATTTGGCTTTTGCTTAATTTTAACGTTGCTGAATTTGTGGCTTTTGGGTTTCTGGTCATATTTAAAGATGTTTTTCTGCTCTAAGATTGTAAAAAACATTCTCCCATGTTGCCTTCTAGTATTTTTTATGTTTTCATTTTTTTACATATTTATCTTTGATTATCTGGAATTTATTCTGCCATAGGGAGTAAGGTAGGAAGCCACATTTTATTTTATTTTCTACTTGGTTACCCAATTGACCAACACCATGTATTGAACAATCCATACTTTCCTCACAGATTAAAGATTCCACTGTTAACATGTGCTAAGTTCCTGCATACGTGTGACTTTATTTCTGTATTTTTTTCTGTTTTCATTATATGTCTGTTCATTTGCAAGTACCACACTGTTTTAATTACTAAGGCTTTATAATATATTTTAAAACCAGGTAGTTCTAAACTTTGCAACTACTCTTTTTTTTTTCAGAATTTTCTTGACATTTTTTACATTTTTGTTTCTAATGTGAATATTTTTGGGCCACAATATATACTGTCATATTGCTTTCTTAAAGGGCCATGCCAGTTTACACTATGATTAGTAATATATAATTCCCTTTTCATCCCGTCTACATTAGTTTTAGTTGGGGGTTCAAAACACTAGGGTGGGGCTAATTTGATAATGGTCAAAATAGGCAAAAGAATTGATTGTTTTAACTTCTGTGTATGTATTCACTGGTGAATTAAACATTTGCAAGTTGGATTTCCTCCTTTGTGATTTATATGTTGGTCTTTTGTCCACTTATCTGTTGGGGTTTTGTAAGAATTCCTTATATATTAGTTATATCAACCTTTGGACATGTTGTTGTAAAATATTTCCCTTTTTATTAACCTTCAAATTTGCCTTTTAAAAAGTATTTAAGGGCCGAGCCCGTGGTGCACTTGGGAGAGTGCGGCGCTGGGAGTGCGGCAGCACTCCCGCCGCGGGTTCGGATCCTGTATAGGGATGACTGGTGCGTTCACAGCACTCACTGGCTGAGCGTGATGTGGCCGGTCTCAAAAAGGACAAAAAAAAAAAAGTATTTAATAAGTGAAACCTTGATTTTTTCCCCCTTATTGTGAATTTTGCTTTACCATCTAAGTATAGAAAGTTTTATTCCATCCAGTGTTTTGCTAAATATTTACTTTTGTTTTCCTCTAGAATCTTTATATTTAACTTTCACCTTCATCTGGAATTTCTTTTTGTATGTAACACGATGAAGATCTAAACTGATTTTTTTTTCTGACCAGTTATCCTTGTATGTTGATTTATAAAGCCTGATTTATCACATATTAAATTCTCTATCTGGGAATGTATTCTGTTACATGAATTTGTATGTTCTAACAATGGTATCATAAATAAATAACTGCAGGCTGGCCCGTGGCTCACTTGGGAGAGTGCGGTGCTGATAATACCAAGGCATGGGTTCGGATCCCATATAGGGATGGCCGGTTTGCTCACTGGGTGAGCGTGGTGCTGACAACACCAAGTCAAGGGTTAAGATCCCCTTACCGGTCATCTTTTAAAAAAAAATTTTTTTAAATAAATAAATAAATAACTGCTTTTAGCATTATTTTCAATACTTCTGTATATACCTGACAATCTTTTGTTTGTTTGTTTTTACTGTGGTAAAATATACATAAATAAAAGTTGCCATTTGAACCATTTTTTAAGTATACAATTTATTGGCATTAATTATATTCACAATATTGTACAACCAACACCATTACCTATTTCCATAATTTTTTTATTGCCCAGCAGAAACTCTGTAATCATGGGCTGGCCCGGTGGCGCACTGGATAAGTGCGCCGCTTGGGAAGCGCAGCGGCGCTCCCGCCCGAGGGTTCGGATCCCACATACAGACCGGTTCCCGCTCACTGGCTGAGCGAGGCGCGGGAGCAACACCGAGGGTTGCAATCCCGTTGCCGGTCCTCGGTCCGGTACAGGGGCAACACTGAGGGTTGCGATCCGTTGCCGGACATGGAAAAAGACACACACACACAAAAAAAAAAAAAGAAAATGAAACTCTGTAATCATTAAACAGTAGCTCTCCATTCCCCTCCTTCCCTCAACTCTTGGTAACCTCTACTACTTTCTGTCTCCATGAATTTGCCTATTCTAGATATTTCATATAAGTGGAATCATACAACATTTATTCTTTTGTATCTGGCTTGTTTCACCTAGCATGATGTTTTTAAGGTTCATCCATGTTGTAGCATGTATCAGAATTTTATTCCTTTTTATCACTGAATAATATTTCATTGTATGTATATATGACTTTTTGTGTATCCATTCATTTGTTTATGGACACTTGGATTGCTGCTACTTTTGGCTATTGTGCATGTGTTGCAATGAACATTTGTGTACAATTGTGTTTGAGTTCCTATTTTCAATTCTGTTAGATATATACTGAAGAGTGGATTTGCTGTGTCATATAGTAGTTCTGTTTAGCTTTTTGAGGAAGCACCAAACTGTTTTCCACAGTGGCTGCATCATTTTACATTCCCACCAGCAACATATGAGAGTTCCAGTTTCTCCATTTCCTGGCCAACACTTGTTCTTTTCTGTTTTGTTTGTTTGTTTGTTTATTTGTTTGTTAGTTTTGGTGACTGGCCAGCACAAGGATTCCTTGACCTCGTTGTTATCAGCACAGTGCTCTAACCTACTGAGCTAACCAGCCAGCACTGTTTTTCTTTTTTAATAGTCATCCTAGTAGATGTGAAGTGGTATCTCAGTATGGTTTTGATTTGCATTTCCTTAATGACTAATAATGTTGAACATCTTTTCATGATCTTATTGGCCATTTATATATTTTCTTTGGATAAATATTTCTTTAAATTTAAATCTTTTGGGCCATCCTGTGGCTCACTTGGGAGAGTGTGGTGCTGATAATACCAAAGCCAAAGGGTTCAGATCCCTATATAGGGATGGCTGGTTAGCTCACTTCAGAGAGTGTGGTGCTGACACCACCAAGTTAAGAGTTAAGATCCCCTTACTGGTCATCTTTAAAAAAAAAAAATAAATAAATAAATAAATAAATAAATTCAAATCTTTTGACCATTTTAAAATTGGGTTGTCTTTTTGTTGATAAATAAATAAATAAATAAATAAATTCAAATCTTTTGACCATTTTAAAATTGGGTTGTCTTTTTGTTGAGTCATAGTTCTTTGTATTTCTAAACATTAAGCCCTTTATCAAATATATGATTTGCAAATATTTTCTCCTATTCTGTAGGCTTTACTTTCTTTTTTTTTGTTTGTTTGTTTGCTTTGACAGCTGACCAGTATGGGGGCCTCACTTTCTTGGTAATGTTCTTTGATGTATGAAAGTTTTTAGTTTTGATGAAATTGAATTTATCTCTTTTTTCTTTTGTTCGTTGTGCTTTTGGTGTCATATCTAAGAATCCATTGCCAAACCCAAGGTCATGAATATTTACCCCTATGCTTTTTTTTAAAAAAAGGTTTTTATGATTTTAGTTCTTATATTTAGGTCATTTATCCATTTTCAGTTAAGTTTTTATGTGGTATGAGGTAGGGGTCCAACTTCATTCTTTTGCATGTGGAAATCCATTTGTCCCAGTACCATTGTTGAAGAGACTATTCTTTCTCTGTAAATGGACTTGGTATCATTGTCAAAAATAAATTGGTCATAGATGCATGGGTTTATTTCTGGACTCTTGGATCTGTTTCATTGGTCTGCATGTCTATCCTTATGCCAGTACCACACTGTGTTGATTACTGTAGCTTTGTGAAGGTTTTGAAATCCAGAAGCACAAGTCCTCCAGAATTGTTCTTTTTCATGATTGTTTTGGCTATTTAGAATTTCTTCCAATTCCATATGAATTTGAAGATTGGCTTTTCCATTTCTGCAGAAAAGGCTGTCGGAAAAAAATTTTTTTTTTTTTTTATGGCAGCTGGTTGGTAAGGGGATCCAAACCCTTGACCTTGGTGTTATCAGCACCATGCTCTCCTGAGTAAGCTAACCAGCCAGGTCAGCTGTTGGAAATTTGATAGGGACTGTGTTGAATCTGTAGATTGCTTTGGGTAATATTGACATCTTGAAAGTATTAAGTCTTTCTATCCTTGAACACAGAATGTCTTTCTATTTATTTAGGTCTTTTACAGTTTCTCTTAGCAATGTTTTATAGTTTTCAGCAATATGTCTTTCACTTCCTTGGTTAAATTTAGTCCTAGGTGTTTTTTTGTTTGTTTGTGATGGTATTGTAAATGGAAGTGATTTCTTAATTTCTTTTTTAGACTGTCATTGCTGATGTATAGAAACACAACTGATTTTTGTGTGTTGATCTTGTAACCTACAACTTTTCTGAATTAGTTTATTAGCTCTAGTAACTTTCTTGTGAATTCTTTGAGGTTTTTTTTATATAGGATCATGCCATCTAGTAATGGAGATAGTTTTACTTCTTTCTTTAGAATTTGAATTCATACTTGACAATCTTGTATAATTTAAATCATAGTGTTTCAATTTTTAATGGTCATTTTCTTATTTTTAAAGTGATTTTGAAAATTAAGTTTCCGGGCCGGCCCGTGGCTCACTCGGCAGAGTGCGGTGCTGATAACACCAAGGCCACGGGTTTGGATCCTATATAGGGATGGCCGGTTAGCTCACTGGTTGAGCGTGGTCCTGACAACACAAAGCCAAGGGTTGAGATCCCCTTACCGGTCATCTTTTAAAAAAAAAAAAAAAGAAAGAAAAGAAAATTAAGTTTCCAATTGATATAGTACTTATTTAAAGGAAATATTTAAATGTTTATTAACTTAAGGGCTTTTTTTTTTCTTTTTTCCATAGACTTGGCTAGCTGATTGGCTGCTGAAAAATAATCCCAACAAACCAAAACTTTGTCACCATCCAATTTCAGAAGAACCTTATTAAAGTCAAGTCTTCCAAAGAACAAATCACAAACTATCTTATTATAAAAGGATGTGCTTCTACTTTTTTAGAAAACATCATTTCTAAGGGCTTTAGTAACTACATGTGAAATAGATTATTTCTTAAAAATAAGTGTTAAAGGAATAACTGTGTTCTGTTAAGCAGGTAACATTATGTAAGGTAAAATATAGACTTAGGGTATGATGTTAACAATGATGTAACAAGTAATAAAAGACTAATGTAAGATGTTGCTGGATTATTTTTGTTAAGTTAAAGAAGTAAGACATGAAAGTTTAGTTATACATTTTTCCAAGCACATATCCTATATTTAGATGCATAATTAATGCACAGTTGAAACAATCTAGTTAAAAAGGGGTAAGTATATGAATATTTGGCACAAGGAGAATGGTCGGAACCAAAGGGTGATTTTAACTAATCACTTACGTAACTATTTCTTCAACATTAATAAGTGCCCTCCAAGGGTGGCCAAAGAGTAGGGTGACAACTCATCCTTATTTGACTGGGACTTTCCTGGTTATATCACTGAAAGCCCTGCATCCTGGGAGCCCCTCAGTCCTCAGCAAAATGAAGTGATTAGTCACCCTACCAGATAGTCCTTAGTTTAATATTTCCCCAGTTCTGTTTTTGTGATAAGATATTAGTTTGAAAAAAATGTAAAATTCTGTTCTTAAATTTTAATTTACTAAAAAAAAAAAAGAATATAAGTTGTAAAATACTTTTGTTAAGAGTAAACATTTAAACTTTTTTTTTTTTTAAAAATATGACCGGTAAGGGGATCTCAACCCTTGGCTTGGTGTTGTCAACACCATGCTCAGCTAGTGAGCCAACTGGCCATCCCTATATAGGATCCGAACCCGTGGCCTTGGTGTTATCAGCACCGCACTCTCCCAAGTGAGCCACGGGCTGGCCCTTAAACTTGTTTTATCTCTTCAAAAAGTCAGTGTCAGTATAAAACAAAAAGTGGAGATGGGGAAGAATTGTTCTACATTAAAAGAGGCTAAGGAGACATCTTAACCAAATGCAATGAGTGAATTTTGATAGGATCCTGATTTTTTTTTTTTTTTTTTTTTTTTAAAAGATGACCGGTAAGGGGATCTCAACCCTTGGCTTGGTGTTGTCAGCACCACGCTCAGCCAGTGAGCAAACCGGCCATCCCTATATAGGATCTGAACCCGTGGCCTTGGTGTTATCAGCACCGCACTCTACCAAGTGAGCCACAGGCCGGCCCGATAGGATCCTGATTTTTAAAATTCTATAAAAGATCTTTGGGAGACAGCTGAGGAGATTTAGATATAGACTAAATATTAGATGATATTAGGGAATAATTGCTAATTTTTATAGGGTGAAAATATAGCCATATAAGGAAAATACTATTATCTTTAGGTGATACATTTTGAAATATTTAGGGATAAAATTTATGATTATTGTGACTTATTTTCAGATAATTCATATATACTTTTATATGTATAAGAGTATTTTATACATGTATAGATAAGGCAATGTTAGCAAAATATTAACAATCGTTCAGTCTATGTGGTGGGCACACAATTGTTCTTTGGACTATTCTTTCAACTTTTCTGTATATTAAAACTATTTACATAATGAAGTTGGGGAAAAAAAGAGTAAAGATCTAGCTGTTATCACCATAATCCAGGTCAATTTTTCACATCAGTGATGGGAAGACATTCAGATATTATATGTCTCTTGATTTGATACAAAATGAAACATACTACTCATCTATGATGTATTCTAGACAAAAATGTGTACTTTAAAATTATCAAGCTTTTAGGTCAAACTCCACCTTACAGTGATATAGGAGATAAAGTACCATCTAAAGGACACCATGAAGAAGTCATCAGAATAATTCAGAAGGTGGGATGTTCTGCAGGACAGCTACCTTGGTCTTTTTAACAAATTGGTGTCTTGAGAAAAGGGACTGTTTTAGATTAAAAGAGGCTTAAAATATATTACCAGGATCAATAGTTGTTTTAAGATTGGACTTGGGGTTTTTTTGGTCTGTGTTTTTTTTCAATTTTATTTATATTTATTTTTGTGGGGTGTGGTGTGTTGGTTCAATACATGCATATACTGTGCAATGGTTCACTTAGGGGTACATGGCATAGTTTTGTACGCATTAGTCCACCACTTCTTCCTCCTCCCTTCTCCCCTCCAGGCCTCTTGTAACCATTATTTTACTCTCTACTTCTATGAGGACCAGTTTTTTTGTTTGTTTGTTTGTTTGTTTTTGTAGATTCTGCATATGAGTGAATCCATTGAGACACTTAGTGTCTTTTAATTAGGGCATTTAATCCATTTACATTTAGAGTTGTTATTGATATATAGGGATTTGTTTGTGCCATTTTGTTACTTTTTTTCTGGTTGTTTTGTTGATCCTTTTTTCCTTTTTTCTGATCTTACTGTCTTTGTAGTTGAGTGGTTTTCTCTAGTAGTGTATTTGATTTCTCACTATTTTTAGTATGTCTCATAAGTTTTTGTGTTATGGTTACCATGAGGCTTACAAAAAACATGTTATAGTTATATTATTTTAGATTAATAACAATTTAATTGATATCAAAGAAAAAAGAAAAGACCAAAGCCAACTCTATGCTTTGGTGTCATTCCCCCCAACTTTTTGACATTTTGTTGTTTCAAGTTATATCTTTTAATATTGCCTATCTCTTATACGGTTGTTGTACATGTTATCATCTCGTTGGATTTGTTCTTTACCCTGCATAGTAAGTATGTAAGCGGTTTATTCACCATCCTCCCGTACGACACTGGGGTTATCTGAGAGTGTCTGTGAGCTTACTTTAGGAACGAGTTATGTCTCTTCAAATGTTTTCTTGCTGCTGCTTAGTTTCATCATCTTCTTTCAGATTGAAGAACTCCGTTTTTTCTTGCAAGGCAGGCCTAGTATTGGTGAATTCCCTTAGTTTTTGTTTGTCTGGGAAAGATTTTATTTCTCTTTCATATTTGAAGATTAGTTTTGCTGGATACAGAGTTCTCAGCTGGCAGTCTTTTTCCTTTAGCACTCTGAGTATATCATCCCATTCTCTTCTGGTGTGTAGGGTTTCTACTGAAAAATCTGCTGAGATACATATTGTGGCTCTATTGAATGTTATGTGTTTCTCTTCTCTTGCCGCTTTCAGTATTCTTTGTCTTTGGTTTTTAATAATTTGATTATGATATGCCTTGGGGTGTTCCTCCTCAGATTGAATTTGATTGGTAGCCTCTGAGCTTCCTGTACCTGGGCACTATCATCTTTCTCCATACTTGGGAAAGCCGTTATTTCCTTGAATATGTTTTCTATATCTCTTCCTTTTTCCTCTCCTTTGGGTATGCCAATTATGCAGACGTTATTTCACTTGAGGGAACCCCACATTTGCTGTATTTTTGTTTCATTTTTTCTTATTCTTTTTCCTCCTCTGACTTGATCATTTCATGTGTTTCATTTTGAGCTCATGTCTTTCCTCTGATTAAGTCTGCTGTTGGAGCTTTCTGTAGAGTTTTTCAGTTCATATAATGTATTCTTTATTTCTAGAATTTCTATTTATTTATTTGTTTATTTAATTGATTCAATTCCTTTGTCAGGTTTCTCATTCTGCTCCTGGATTGTTTTCCAGATCCCATTTAATTTTCTATCTGTATTTTTTTGTGACTCCCTGAACATCATTAAGAGGGTTATTCTGAATTTTCTATCAGACATTTCATAAATCTGCTTTTTCTCAGGTCCATTGCTGCTGCTTTGTTTGTTTCCTGTGGTGGTGTCATATTTCTCTGTTCTTTCTTGATCTCTGTGTCTTTATGTTGATTCCTGGGCATTTGAGGAGATTATTACCTATTCTGGGTTTTATATGTGTTCTTTGGTGCTATTAGACCTTTATTGGTTAATATCAGAGCTTTGTCTCTGGTCCATGGTTTTGTTTTGTTTTGTTTTTCAGTTCTGTGTTGGATTTTTAGCTATCACCATCACTTAGCCTCTTCATTGGAACTAATTTTTGTCCTTTGGTTAATTCCAAAGTTGGGGGAAATTCCTGTGGGAACAGCAATTGAGCCTTGTGGTTGAGCTAAATTTCTGCTTTGCTGCTGATTCTCTGAGGAAGTCTTTTTGTGTGGATCAGATTTTAATTGTTGGCCTCTTAATCATTTCTAGGTCTTGTGAGGTCAGATACCCCTGCGGTGTGTGGAAGTTCTGGCCTGGGACTGAGTCCAGCAAACTGTCTCCCCCCCCCTCCCCCCCCTCCCTAGGCTAGAACTCCCCTAGCTGGGTTATGTTCTAACCTGACCCTAATTACTGGTCTAGTCACCAGGAAGGAAGGTGCAGATAGCTCCTGAGGGGGACATATATCATCTTGCAAGGCACAGGCCTCCCCCTCCCCCCCCGCCGCCCTGCAGTTCTATGGCCCTGATCATTCTCCACTGAGTGGGCCTATGCCTACTGAAAGGCAGATCAGCTGCCCATGCTGTGTCCCAATGTTCTCCCAGTGGGCCAGCCCCCACCCCCCTACCCCCCACACTCCAAACACTTCCAGTGAGGTGGGTCTTACACAGGTCCCTTACAATGACTCACTGGCCTCTGGGTGGCTCCTTTCTTTGGTTGGCTATGGCCCCTCACTCCAATGTGGATCCATAGGAATCCTGTCAGTGGTCTTGCTGGCCTGGGAGCTGGTTTGATGTGCTCTGAGGCCCTTTTCTCTGCTGCAGAGAACAACTTCATGCAAAGGGCTCAACTGTGATTTTACCGGCTCCTGCTTTGTGTGTTGCAAATTTTTCCTGACCCTCACCAAGCTGGCCCTGAAGCAGCTGGGGTTTGAAACAGTTGGAGTGATTCTTTCTCCCTCTTGCTGCAGCTTTTCCTGCCTTCACAAACTCCAGGGGTCTCTCCTCCTCTTCCCCCAAGCTTCAGCAGTCCCAGGTTAGCCGTCTTTTCTTTTTAATAGTTGTACATTGATTGGTTGTGGGAAAGACTGATGCTGGGGACCATCAATTCTGCCATCTTGAAGACGTCAAAAATCTAGACTCTGGTTTAAGTAGACAATTTTTCAGACAGCTGGAAAGATTTGAATCTAGACTATTAAATGAGATGAAAATTTATTGCCTTGGAAAGTAAAGATTGTTAATTGAAACATGCATGTTACATAGCAATAGGTACAGTATGCTTTCATTTAGATTAAAAAATGTATATATGTGTGTGGAATAAGCTGTAGAAGGATACTCACTCAAGTGTTGTTAGCTTTGATCTTTGGGTAGTAGTTATGCTATTTTATTTTTCTTATTTTTGCATAGCTGTATTTCAAATTTTTCTACAGTTTTTAAAACTGGTTTTGTAATTTTTAAAAAAGATTAAGATTACAAAAAAT